CGAGCCGCCGCCGCGCTCCCCCAAGACCAAGACCCCGGCGCCCCGCCGACCGGGCCAGACTGCGTACTCATGGCTGCCTGCACAATATGAAAACTTGGCTCCGAAACTCGATGCAGCGTATTTACAGCGCATATATTTTTTATTTTTAAAAAATAATATAAAACGAGGAAGCTGGGCTTTCGGGATATCGCGATGTCGCGTCATCCCCTAAGCTCGTTTCCCCTATTTTGAAATCCGTCAGGGCGCGATATTTCATATCTCCATGTTTTCATACCGTGCGTGCATGCATATATATATATTTATACACGCGGCCCGTCCCCGCCCCGCCCCGCCCCGCCCCGCCCCGCCCCGCCCCGCCCGCTGTCCTGGGAAATATATGAAAGCTGCGTGGGGATCAACATCGGGGGCACCAGCAGCAGCTACTCCTACCCCGGCCTTCTCCCCGTTTCAATTTTGAGGGATTTTCACCTCAGAGTGGTGGCGGCCCTGCTTGGCAGTGCAGGCGCGCGGCGCGCCGTCGCCGTGGTGCGGTGGTGGAGGGCCTCGCTGCACCTCGACGAGGAACTCATTCGCCAAAATGGCGGCCCGCACACGTGTCATTTGTTAGTCTGACGTGTGTGTGTGTGAGCGAGCGCGCTGGTGTGAGTGCGTGTTCGCGATGAAGCACTGTGGCTTGCTCTACGAGGCGTCGCGGCGTGGCGTCGCGGCGCGAGATTCACTGGAAACCAATTCCTGGCTGTTCCTGTTTTAAGGCGCCGCTCCCTCGCTCCCCTCCGTCCCCTGGGACGTGCTGCCTCCCTGCTCCGCCGGCTCGGCCTGCTTCTTGGCGTCGCGAGGCGCCCCTGCTGCCGGCCCCGTAGTGCCGTAGCGCGGTCGGCTGATCATCGATGTGACAGTGGTGCTCCAAGCCGGAAAACTGCGCCGCGGCAGTGTAGGCCGCCGAGGCAGTGTAGGCCCCCGAGACCCTAATGGAGAAAGGCGCGCCAGGAATCCAAAAGTAATCCCAGGGACCGTCGAATTTGTGGCACTTATTACGGCCTGGTGTCTAACCCCTTCTGCCTGCCTGTCTGTCTGTCTGTCCGTCTGTCTGTGAGTGTGGGCGCGTTCCCTTCGGATGAACCTGTTGCCTAATCGCAAGCAAATCGTGTCGCGCGCGGCGTTCCGCGCGTCCCGCCCATAAAACGCCGTGGCCCCGCCCCGCCCCGCCCCCGCCGCCCCCTGCCGGCGACGCGGCGCGCGTACCTGATACCATCGTGGTTATCGGAACGGGAAGTGGCTGGGGGCGGCGAATCCCGCCGGAGCCCCCGTTGCCGCCGCCCCCGCCGCCCCCGCGCTCTGCTCTCCTTCCTCCGCATCGCCATAAACCACTTCCGGCTCTGCGAGGCGCCCGTTTGGGTCCCGGGCCCTGCGCCCCGCGGCCCGCGTCCGGGGTTCTGGCGGCTCTGGCGGCCCCGGCGCCCCGCCTCGCGACAAAGCTGCGGAAGGGCGATGCCGAGGCGATGGCAAGGCGACGGCGGTCTCGGACGCGATCCGGCCGCGATCGGGACGCCGAGACAAATGTGTTTGGCTTGGAGGCGCCGGGGATTATTTTTGGCGGCGTCTAATCCGACTTGGCGGTGCCTGGAGGCCCTGCAGGCCCCGGCGGCGTGTGTGGCGGGGCGGTGGCGTCTTGGCGAACCGGGATGGGAATAGGATGGGATGAGATGGAGGGTTGAGAGACTGAAGGGGTTGCGCGATGCGGCGCGGCGCGGCGCGGCGGTCTCAGGAGGACCGTTAGCCTCCTGGCTGCCAGCGCGCGCCGGCAAGCCCGGCCCGGCAAGACCGCCAGGCCATTCCAACTCATTCCCGGATTTGAGCGCGTAGCCCGCGTGGCGCGTCCCCGTGAGTTATTGGGTTTCGCGTTTCGACAATGGCGGGGGCCTGTCTCTCTCGCTCCCCCGCGGACTGGCCCGCGAGTGCGAGAGAGACAGAGCACTGTTCGGGGCGCTCGGTGCGCGGCGGCACCGCAGAGGAGCGAGGGGCGGCGAGGGGCCGCTGCAGCCGGGATTGCGGTGCGCCGCGGTGCGCCGCGGTGCGCGGTGTTTTCGGCTCGGACCGCGGCAATTTGATCCGTTCGGCGTTGGCAGTGCAGGACGCGCCGCCGTTTCGGCGCGATTGGGATCTGATGCAGCCCGGGCGGGCAGGCAGGGGGAGGGCGTCGGACTGGTAACGTGAGGCGCGTGGATTCCGAGTGGATCCGGTGACGGTGGGGCGGCGGGGCGGCGGGGCGCGGCTGCTGACCGAGGGCGGTTTTGCCGATCAGCTTAACGAGGGCGGCGATGTCCACGGGAAAAGCGCGGCGCCGCGGCGGGGGCGGCGTGGCTGGCGCTTGGCTGGCGGCATGGCGGTGCGGACGGGGCTGGCGGCACCGCTGGTGCGCCTTCTGCATTCTCAGCGTAATGAGGCAGACGCGTCGCGTGGCGGTCTTACAGCGCGCTGCTCTGTCTCTCTCGCACCCCCGCGGGACGCGCTGTGCGGCGCCGTGAGTGCGAGGGAGACGGAGAGAGGTGGGCGGCCCCAGCGGGCTCTGCGTCGGCCCAGTGCGCCCGGGACGCGGAACTAATTTCACTTTGGGATCGACGGAGGCGGCGGCGGAGGCTGGGGTGGGTGCCAGTGCCACCCCCAGTGTGTGTGTTTGTGTGTTTGAGTGTGTGTGGCGCGCGTGCCGCGTCTGGGCCGCGCTGGCGTGTGAGCCGCCGCAGACGGGGGGCGGCCCAGTTCGCCGGCCAATCATTGTCGAGCGCGCTGCAGCGGGGAGCAGGTGGCTGGGCGACGCTCCGAGAAGGCTCATCGTCATAGGACGGACTCAACGCGTGACGCGCTTCGAGCTTTCAAGTCGTCTAACAGTGAATGGACTGCTTCGGGGCACTGTCGGAATGCGTGTTCGAAACTCGAAGAATTCATGGCGTTTGATTCGTCGGCTTGCTGCTCTACGCGCCGTGACGGCGTAGGTGCGCAGGCCCCGCGGCGTGGCGGTGCGGCGCGGACGCGTGCTGTGCGCATGATCGCCACCCTTGCGCTAATTGGCGCACGGAGAGGGAGAGAGAGAGAGAGAGGGAGAGCGAGAGAGGAAAGCTGAGCCAGCAACGGTTGTCACGCGCACGGCACGGCGGCGCGGCCCCCTGGCGGAGGGTGGCGGTGGGTGTTTGTGTGGTCTTGACGGGCATCAATCCTAATGGCAGCGCGCCCCGCCACGCCCCACCCCGCCCCGCCCCGCCCCGCCACGCCCCGCCGGATGATGAGGCGGGGCGGTGGGCGAAATAACAGCACAGCGAAGGCGGCTCCGAGGCGGGCACGTCGCGGACCCTCTGCCGGCGCCAAATTTAAATTCATGTGACCGGTCGCCGAGGGGGGAGGCGGGGGCCCATTTTAATGGTTTCGCTGGGTTTTGGCGCGGGCTGCAGTTCGGGGCGGCGGTGCGAGGGCAGTGCGTGACATGGCGGTGCGTCCGCTCGTGCGAATGGGGCCGTGGATGCTCGTTCTCTCCGTTGTCTTTTTCTTTCTTTTTTTCCGCGGTCGGCCCTTCGCCTAGTTCGGGACGCATTCACCTGTCGGCCGCGCTGCCGCGCTTGACGGCCCCTTTTCGGTCCGACCGGATGCAGCCCGTCTCTCTCGCACCCGAGCGGATGGCGCCGCTCGCCGCGTGAGTGCGAGAGAGACAGAGCGCCGGCCGCCCGGAAGCAGCCTGCAGGCCGCGGGACGCCGCGGGATGTGGGCACAAAGTGGCGGGCAGGAACTACTGCCTGCAACTACCGCGTCGGGTCCGCCTTGCGTGGCGCGGCGCGGCACGCCGCACAGTGGGCCAGAAGATCGCTGGAGGCGGCCGAAACTCCAGACGCGTTTCGAGCTCCAGAGTCGCTAAATGAGGCTCGAACCGAACGTGTGACCCCATCAATGGATTGCTCTCCGAACGAGGAAGCCATTGGTGGGGTCACACGTTCGGTTCGGGTACTGTTTAGCGACTCTGGAGCTCAAAACGCGTCCAGAGTTTTGACCGCCTCCACCGGTCTTCTGGCCCACTGTGCGGCGTGTCCTGCGCGTCCCGGGGCATCCTTTCGTATTTCCCCCAGGACCTATCCCGCCGGAAAGGTGTAGCAGCGGCCCACTTTTCTATTCGGGGGGCAGGCAGGGGAGGGGGCGGGGGCAGCCACGCGGAAAACCGAGACGGCACGGCGCTGGAGCGAGTTTGGCGCGCAAAGTCGCCCGCAGACCGCCGCCCTGACAGTGGCGTGGCCCGGTCGGGGCTTGAAAACACACGACTGACTCACTGACTCCCGGGCCGCGCGAATTTGAAACTTTTTTTTTTCGGGGAGCTGGGGCTGGGGGGAAGAGGGTCACGCGTTCACCTCCAAGGTGGTCGGTCGCGCTGCCCCCACGTGCGGTCGCGGGCGCCTGCCCGGAGTGCCATCCCGACTTGTTCGCTCCGTCTCTCTCGCACCCCCACGGACCGCCGCGAGAGAGCGAGCGAGACGGAGCGAGGCGGCAGGTGTATCGAGTGACGTCCATTACTGAAAGCGATACCCACCGCACGGCGCACCGCACGGCGCACCGCACGCCGACATCGGCCGCCATCGGCCCACGGAGCCTCGAAAGCTGAGACACGCCGCACAGTTTTTATTACCGCCTAATTGGCAGTGTGTGCGCGTACTCGCACTTTGCTTTTGCTTTTGTTGTTGTTGTTGTTTTCCGGGGGAAGGGGGCGGATCGCCGGGGGCCTAGGTGCACGACCTGTCCGTCAGCGCCCACCGGCCCTCGCCAAGATCGCATCGGTTCCTGTTGATGCAGCCGATAGGTGCAACGTACTACGTGCCATTTTCAACACGCCTGCGGCCTGTGTGTGGTGTGGTAGTTGCCGTTTCTAGGCTGCACGCAAGAAGCGTCGACGATCTGGGGGGAAAAAATTTGGAATCGCTATTGGAACAAAATAATACAACGTTGTGTTTCTTTTCTGTGTGTTGCAGCATCCGTACCCTTCAGAAGACCAGAAGAAGCAGCTGGCGCAGGACACCGGGTTAACTATTCTACAAGTCAATAATTGGTGAGTCGACCCGACGAATATCAAAATGGCCCAAATCTGGCGCCCCACCCGTCTGCGGCCTAGTACACTGGTACTTTGCCTCAGTAATCACAACTAACGGTGCCGTCGTGCCCTAGGCCTAGGCTAGGCCTAGCAGTGTGGCAGCCCTGCAACGAATGGTTCGTCAATACGGCGTCGCTTGCCGAGCGCTAAGTGCTGGTGGGAGAGCAAACGCCGTGCAAAGGCGGTGCAGAAACCCCCCCCCCTCTTCCCCCTCTTTTCCTCCCGGCTTCCATTCCATTCCGACGGATTGATTAATCGCTGTAATTACTGATCAGCTCCCGTGCTAATTACAACGGCCAGAATGCTGCGCCCTGCGCCCCTCTCCCAGCCTCGCAGGCAGCTGGGGTGCGCTCCGCCGCACCACCACGTCCCGCTACCGCCGAAGCTTTACTTTTCGGCAACTTTAATTTTCACCTTCGGAAAAGGGAGAGGAGAGAAACACACAGAAAGAGAGAAGGACTTTTTTTGTTTTCTTCTTACTTTTTTCCGTTGTTTTTTTTTCGCAATTCGGACTTGTAGATGTAGATTCTCGGCGCGCCCCTTTTACTCTGATTGTGTTTTTTCGCGTTTCCGACGCCGGCCGGCAGGAATGGGAACTTTTTCAGATCGGACGACATAAACTGAGGAAAAAGGCGGGTTTTCCGCCAGTTCGATGTTATTATTATTTTTTTTTATTCCGGTATTTTTGTCTGCGCTGAAAGTGAAAACTCTGTAAATGCCTCACTTCTCGTTGCGCCCCGCACGCAACTAATGGGCGGTCCCTGGCGGCCGGGCAGGCCTCGCCATCCTCGCCAGCCTCGCCAGCCCGGCGGACAAACTACAATCGCTACCGAAATTGGATTATTTGGCGACTGATGGCTGCTGGGGTCCATGGCCTGGGCGGCCTGGACGGCGGGTGGCGTGGGAGCGTGGGTGGCTGCTGGGCAGGCTCTGGCGGCTCTGGCTCTGTCGATGCCCGAGGCCGGGCGGGGCGGGGCGGGGCGGGGCGGGGCCGAGCCGAGCCGGACTCTGGGGGGCTATTTTCCTTGTTTTCGAAATGGAGAAAATCGGACTTGGAGAGAGGGTGGGCAGGGGCATCAGGAAACTGTTTGCGGCCAGGGAAAAAGGGTGAGGGGGTGACCCTGCGCCGGTGTGTGTATGCGTTTGTGAGTCTGAGTGTGTGTGTGTGTGAGTGCGGAGGCAAAGGGTTAGAGAGTAGGCCCGCAGGGAGACGCCGGGGAAGCAAGCAGACCGTTGGACATCCATCAAGCCATGGCAGTCGTGTCGCCCACGACGAACATCACTAATTTGATCTCGCGAGGCGTGGCGGGGCGGGGCGGGGCGGGGCGGGGCGGGGAGCAGACCAGGACGACGGCGAAAGCTCTCCTCACTCGCTCGCGGCGATTTGGTTGTACTCGGCGTCGTTTGAGGGCAATCTGCCTCGGCGCGTCGCCGTGACTGCAGCACTCTGCCTTTATTTGTCTCGGCTCCCCGTCCGCCTCCTGCAGGCCGTCCTCCAGGCCGTCCTCCAGGTCGTGGAGACCGTTACTGTGCCATAATCAGACCCTTACGCGCCTGAATAATTGATCTAAATGTCGCGCTCCGCTGCCGCGTCTCCCCCTTTTTTTTACATCATCTTTTCATATTTTTTTCGTCCTTTATTTCGCATTTATGCGTTCCAGGGCAGGGGCTGCAGGGGCGGCAGGCGGGCTGTAGGTGGGGGAAAGGCCTTCGCGTCGTTCTCGTTGGCCTTGCAGGAAATTGCCTGGCACATCACTCTCTTCTGCCCTCTCTCCTGCGCCCTCCAGTTCTCAACAGTTCTCCTGCTTCTGTCGTGCAGCCCCCCCTCCCCTCCCCTCCTCCTGGCCAAAAGTTTACCCGCTCCGGCGATCCCGGATGCTTGAATCATTTCGACAAAGTTTAAAAGAGTGATGTTCGCCGCCCTCATCCGGGATGTCTTCCCGCGACTTTCTGACTGCGTCTTAAAATATTTAACGTGTCCGCGTCCGCCCCGCCGCGGCCTGCCAGCATGGTCTGCCCGGCCGGCCCGGCCCGGTCCGGAGGGGACCTTTTCCAATGCGTTTCAAGTCGATCCTGTAAAGTTGGGAAGTTGGTGGGCACGGGGGAGTTGGCGACACGGGCTGATCTGGTCTGAGCTGTCCCCCCCCCCCCTCCCCTCCCCGTGCCACCGTGGGTCCCTTCGGTGGCCAACGGGCCAATGGCAGGCCTCCATCGCCGGACGCCGGGCAGGACAGGCAGGACCCTTTGGCGCTCCACTCCGCCAGTTCCGGGGTCCCTTATTTTTTGGCTTCTCTTGAGGACCCGCCCGGCGCCCGTCTCGCTCGCGCGCCGTCCTCCTCTGGGGGGTTTTGGGGACATTCTGCGTGTCATCATCATTTTTCATACTCCGTACCATTACTGTTTTCATCTCATTGTCCCACCCCCGTGCGATCCAATCTCCCCTCCCTTTCCGCCGGCGCCTCCCCCCCTCCCCCTCCCCCCGGGCGTGTTTGTTGTCTTTGGCTGGCAAGGGTTGCGAGTCACGGGTCCGGGATCGATGCCCTAAAGGTGGAGCGGGCAAGGCAAGGCCGCCTGCACTGCAAGGCACTGCACTGCAAGGCCTTGACGAGCAGCGAATGACGCGCCGAGCCGCGGAGCAGGCCATTCCGAACGGTCTGTCTCTCTCCCTCTCTCTCTCTGTCTCTCTCTCTCTGTCTCTCTCTCTCTCTCTCTCTCTCTCTCTCTCTCTCTCTCTCTCTCTCTCTCTCTCTCTCTCTCTCTCGGCCTGCTGCGCCCGACCGCATTCATAACAGCTTCTCGCTCCCCGTATGAAAACTAACACCGTACTCCCCCGCGGCTGGGTGCGTGTGGGTGGGTGTCTATGTGTGTGTCTGAGTCTGTGTGTGTTTGTGTGTGTGTACCGAGAGACGCGAGGAAAAAAATCCTAAGCAAGGAAAGAGGGTGACTCCATATTCATGGGTCAATTTTAAAATTCATTCGTCTTACGCGCGCGACGCCGCAGGACTCTTCGTCCTTGTTCATCTCGCCGGTTTTTCCCTGTTTCGTTTGATTCGCTTATTTACACGCGGCCGAAGCAAGCGCCCGTCGCGTACGTGTTCGGCGATGATCATTGCCACGCGCGGCGAATGTGTGATGTATGCGCAGAGACGCCACGCCCCACGGCGGGGCGGGGCGTGCCGAGCGAATAACCAATTTTGGAGTGGCGTGCCGCCGCGCCGCCACCACGGGGGCCTTCTCGCGGCAGCGACCCTTGAAGGTGCTTTATACGCCGACAATGGCGATGTTTCGCCACCTTTGCTTTCTTTTTGTCTGCTCGGCTGCGTCGCTGCGCCGCGGCGTCGCTGTCGCTGCCTCCTCCAGGAAAGCAAGTTGGGTTGCCGCTCCTATCTCTCCCCGCTGCCGCCGCTGCTTTCTCCGGGCAATTTCCAGCCCCCAACGCGCACCGCGGCCTCGGCGGCCTCGACGGCCTCGACGCCACCGCACCCTCCCGACTCTAATACCAGGAGCCCCAAGGAGGGAGGGGGCTGGCCGGGCGGGCCGGGCGGGCCGGGCGAACGGCTCTCCGAGGAGTAATATCGTCTCCTAATAGTCTCTCAAACACCTTTTTAATGAACTATTGTACCAGGAAATGAAAATGTGGCTCGGGGCTCTAGTCCCTGGCCGGGGTCTCCTAGTCCGGGGCCGTTGCGGACGGCCACAGCTTTCTTCCTGCCACCGCGCTTGCCTTGGCCAAGCTCTCCGTCGTCTTATTATTTCCAGGGAAAATATATGGCCGGTTATCGGGACCCCGCCGCGAAGCGGGAAGCGGGACCAGGAAGCCGGGCGGGGCGGGGCGGGGCGTCCTGGATGACGTCGTCCTGGTCCTGCGGGATGAGACAGAGCCTTTATTAACGCCTTGGGGGACTCCTGGCCGGGCTGGCCCTTCGCCCGCACCCACACAGTGAGACACTTCCTAATCGTGGAAGCTGCGACACTGCTGACACTCTCTCTCTCGCACGGCTGCAGGCCGCGCCTCGAGTGCGAGCGAGACAGAGCGACGAATGGCCCCGCTGTGTCCTGATTGACAACCAGCATCGCGGTCCCCGAGTCCCCGCCTCGACGGCGACGTGATCCATGGAGGCCCCCTCCCCCGGACTTGGTGCTTGCCCTGCTGGCCCTGCTTGCCCTGGCCCTCCTTGGTGGCGGACAACACGACGGCATGGCTATCGCCTCGGATCGCCCAGCCCGGCCCAGCCTGGCCAGCAGGATGTCAGTCGTTTAGCAATTGCTTGAGAGGCACGGGCAATCTCTTCCTGTTCGGCGACGGCCCGTTGTCCACCGCGTCATGCTCGGCGTGCTCGGCGTGCTCGGTGGCCTCCAGGCGGTTGCCCGACGCTGGCAGTCCCCCGCCGCCCCGGGCGCAGTTTGTAATCCGGGCGAAGGGTCAAGCGGCCGCCGTTATCGCGAGTAATGCCCCTTAATTGAACAGGCCTGGCTTAGGCCGGACTTACCTCGGACTTCCGAGGTGGGGCCCCACAGTGCAGTGACGCGCAGTGACACGCACACGCTGTCGGGGCCGGTCTGGCCTGGCTGCCACCGCTGCATTATCTATGATTTCCTCGGAGACCTCAGCAGGCGGACCGGCAGGGCACAGTGGAGTGACACGCAGCCGCGTCGAACCTCCACTTACCGGCTGGCACTCTGCTAGCGCTGCCAGCCGGGCGGGGCGGCGGGGCCCCTGCGGGCAGGCAGCCGGGCGGGCCGCGCGCACGGCTGCGCGTCGGGCTGCCTACCCCGCGTCCCGCAGGGGCGCGAGGCTGCAGACGCCGCGCAGCCCGCCAGCCAGCCAGCCGCCTGGCGAGCACACTGTGGGCACGGCCGCGGCTTTTACGAGATGGGCCGCCATTTTTACGGTGGCCGGCACAGCCCATGCGGCACCTGCCTGCCAACGGGCCGCTGCTACACTGCCGCCCTCGCGC